GCAGTGCCGCAGAGCCATTACTGTGCACAAGTATATGTCGTTCTTATCAGTATAACGATAAAGTTAAACAGCAATATAATGTTTTATCAGCGATCTTCGTTGTCATGTAATCATTACTGTCCAAAGTTCACTAAGATAGAACGCCATTTCATCACAAACACCGTAACCAATATTCACTACACAAAGATCGTTACCGATTAACGCATATTCAAAATCATTTCCATTCTGCTTTCGCTTTATCAACCCGCCCACTAAAAAAAATGCGTTATCGAATATTACGCAACTCCAAAATCAATTTCACACGCCACCAACAACGAAAACGGCATACTAATTATATCACAAACGTTGCCAAACGGTACAACACAGAAACGTTTCATTATTTTTTTTCCTATTAGATTATCCCCACACAAAATACCCCCGAAATCGCACCACACGGCACCACCAGCACCATAACACAGACCACCATAGCGCAGGCACCACAGCACCATCGGCAGAGCAAGGGAAATGCATCTCCCAGACAACTGCATTGCCTTCGATCCACATCCCAAATCGCGGTGGTGCCTGCGTCGCCTAGAGCCTCCGGGGCGCCCATCTTCGCCCCCGGTGATTGTCGCTTCCTCCCATTCCTCCATTATCTCATTGATTATGCTAATTCGCCTCTCCTGCACCTCGTTCCTCTTGTCCCGGCGGCTAATGCACTCCAGAAGTCACGGTGATGGGGAGGGGGAGGCGGAGGGGGGGAGGGTGGCGGGTTTGACTTGTTCACGTCACACCACGGCTGATTGTCAACTTTCACTAGCGCATGAAAACACTGGCATGCTTCCTTTTTCCCTAGTGGTGGTAAATGACATTCTAATCCCCCGGCGGGGTCCCGACCGCGTCCTGCACTGTGGTGGTTTCTTGCAGCTCTCCACCGTCAGCCTCTCTTTCGCCATGTGGTTGGGCCAGGCCACCATGGGGGAGTCCAGGCCCGGGGGTCTCTCTTTCTCTCTCTCTCCCTCACACTCTCTTTCTCTTTCTCTTTCTTTCTTTCTTTCTTTCCTTCTTTCTCTCTCTCTCACACACACACTCACACACACACACACACACACGCACGCACGCACGCACGCGCGCACGCGCACACACACACACACACACACACACACACACACACACACACACACACACATACACACACACTCGCACACACTCTGATCCTGGTCCACGTAGTTGCATCAATCAACTTCCCACTCACTAAACTTGCCAACTTATCAACTCCTCTTCTTGCGCTAATTAACAGGCCTTCTCTACGGCAGCCCCGAACTTCCCTCCGACTCCACGAGGTCCACGCACTCACTCCTTTTTCTCCGCACACTCACTCCCTTCTCCTCGGAGTAGCCGCCAGTGTGGCACCTCTCACTCCGAGCCTGAGTCAACTCGGGGCGCATTCCCCGCGTATCCGTCACAGCGCTGGGCCACGTGCTTGTCATAGCTCGCTGTGACGCAACCATAACACAACCGCGGCTGTCGACCAGCATGATGTACTGCATGTTACCTGTTCACCTCCACGCCCTCCCGCTCCTCCGCCGGGAGATCTCGCCGCCCCATTACCCATCAACATCCATCACGTCTCAGCCTCTCGCCTCTCGACGTTTGTGCGCCGTCATCGCCTCGCCGTGCCTACCGAGGCGAGGAGGAGGAGGAGCCCCTCGACGCGCTAGGCCGCTCTCGTCTATGTCCCACGCACGTGCCAGCGCTGACCAATCACTCTCGCTCGCACTGGCGCCGCTGCCCGCATTTCCCGGGGATCCGCGCTCGCAAACAACCCCTTCAGGAGGTCAGCCAAGTCCCCTTCCTGCACACAGAGCGTGCGGGGAAGGACTCCGGGTATATTACTGCCAGGACGTCTCGAGGCTTGCCAGGCTCGGCCAACTGGCGGGCTGGGCAGTCGGGATGGAGGAGGAGGAAGGAGGGAGGGAGGGAGGAGGCATGGGGAAGGAGAGAGTGGGGCGGGGAGGGAAGGAGGGAGGGAGGGAGGAGGGCGAGAGAGTCCTTGAGCTCCCCACCACACTGTCCACATCGCCTCGCCGCTTCAGCCACAATATCAATGATTACTGCAAGCGTTCCAGTCACCGCTCATATGTCGCCTTTTGTGGCCTTATCCTCCTGGGACAAAGAAATCACTCCGCACCACAAGATCTCAGCCACGTAACTGTCTCGCGGTGGGCTGCGACAGGCAGGCGGAGGCAGGTGAGGGGGTACGGGGAAGGGGGAAGAACGTCGTCACCACAACAGGTATTTAACATATATATTTAGAACGACACACACGAACCACGCCGCGTCATATTATACAAAACACATACATCTAAACGCACCAACATACAAATCTATGTAAAACACACACACACACACACACGGCGAAGACTTCATCCCAGAACTTCCTGCCTCCGCGTGCAACTCCCAATGCCTCCTTATTATAGAAACACAGACGTCTCGTGCCCGTCGTCTCATCCTCCCGCCG